GAATACTGCTTTCCTCAGTTATTGAGAAATAATCAGCCATTAATACCTTAGTGGAAACTGATTTAAATCTTTTAGAAATCTGAAGCTGTAAAGGAGACTCGGAGGTTTTCTCCAGATAGCATCTGCTTACAGATGGCCGTTCTGCCACTGCTCACATGGGGGGAGAGCTCAGACCGTCCACTCCATTGTTGGAAAGCTTTAGTTGTACAAGTTGCATGTGGTAAGCCAAACTCTGCCTCACTGAATTCCTCCCCAACCCCTCCATGGTGGTCTCCTGGAGATATACATAATACGCCTAATAATTTCTTTCTGCATGGGAATCCTCCAAATATCTAAAGATGCTCTTGTGAGTATCTCAATTCCTGGCCTTAGTCTCCGTGATGACTTCAGTTTTTCCTCATTGCACAGGCATCTCATTAGTGCTCTCACTACTCTGTAAGCAGACCTCTGCTACAGTGCTTACTGCATGGTTTTGTAATTTATTTGAACATATGACTATCTCCCAGAGTGAACTGTGAGTTTCATAGGGGTGTGGGTGGATTTGGGACTAAGTCTTATACATTTTTGTGTTCATATATTTTCACGTGGGTTGGTGCATAAAAGACACTAAGAATCGATGAAAAGAAAGGAGGGAGAAAGGCAAACAGGAAGAAAAAGAGGGAAAGAAGAAAGAAAAAAGCAAGGAAAGAAGAAAATGAAAGAATGAATCCGTGAAAGAATTATAATGTGATTTTCAGATCCATTACCTCTACGCCTATGGGCATGCCTTTGTCAATGCCATTCTTAAAATGCAGGACTTGAAACCATGGTCTGAACATGGAATAGCACTGTTAGTTCTCCTGACCTGGACACTGGATGGTTATTGATGCACCCTAAGATTGTGTCAGCTTTTCTTAGTCAGAGGCATTCTTGTTGGGGAGCAAGACAACTGTGATCATTCTTGTCTTTTCTCCTGTCTACCGTTAATTGTTACCAAGTCAGGATTCCCTAAACCTACCTGTATGTGAAACTGGATATTTGAACCCAAGTTCAACACTTTATATTCATCCCATTAAATTACACCTTGTTAGGTGCAGCCCAATATATAAAGGCCAGTGCTGGATTTTGGCTTCGTTGTCATTATCTCGCTGCCTCGCCCAGAGCTCAGTTTGCTGTCAGAACCATTGCTGGTGTCGGGCTGGGGTTGAGAGCCAGCTGAGATCACTGTCTTAGGGGAATGCAATCATCAGCATAGAGTGTCTTGAGCAGGACAGACCTGGGTAGGGCTCCACAGCAGGAGCTGTTCTAGGGGCCAAGGAAAAGAAGGAATTCACAGAGAGTGAGGGGAGGAGGCTAAGAGGAAAGGTTTTTGATGAAAGCAAATTTTACCTTTTTCATAGATCTGTCTAGGGATTGGTCCCACCATTATACGTTAGAAATGTGAACAATCAGTTATTTCCTTTTTACTCTGTCCCCCAATACATGTGAGTTAATTAATCATTTTGCAGATACTCTTCCCCAATTTTCTTTCAGTGGAGAAATATACAGGAATGCTTTTCTCATCTAGGTATGACGTTATCAACATCATGATTCTAACACTGGCCTTTAATCCTTATTAAGATGATGCTGATAACAAGCCATCTTGTTTTGCATAACAATTTATACTTTTCAAAGCACTTTCATATAAATACCTGTATCTTCGAACTAGCTTAATAAAGTCACAGAGGGGCTATGCCTCGCTCTGACAGGCATCTGGACAATGACATGGGCTCCCAGGCCTCCTGAAAGCTATGTTTACTCCAGAGAATAGTCAACAAGAAATCTTCAAGGAAATCTGTGGAAGAAATGTTGATGTAAGGATATCTTTTGGGAGTTTCATTCTCTTCTTAGAAATGTTTTTCTGTAATCAGCATGTTTAAACCCTTATGACTCGAATTTGAGAGATGGGAGCTTGCCTTTTTCAAGACCTAGTTCTAGCTTTCATCATTGTGTCTTGTTTTAATTTTTTCTTTATAAGAAATAAAGATAATATGATTGGATCGTTTACTCTGATATAGATAACTATTGTTTATAAAATAAGTAATACTGCACATAAGCCAGAGATTTTAAGAAAATCTAAAGAAAGATTTCTTAGATTGGATTTACCAGATTTGTCTATTTGATTGGTTCTACCAAATAAACAACACTTGGAATAATTTATCTGTTGAATTGCTTTGTTTAAATCTATTAGTGGATTGTGTATTTGTTTCTTGTATTTTCCTTAGCTTTTCCAATATTATCTTTTAATTCTTAATTCATTTATTTTTCTATTTCACTTGATGAGAAACTTTGAAATCTATGAATTTGATATGATCAGATCCTGATATGATATGATTGGATCCTGGTATTTCTGTGTCATTTTTGTTTAGTTTAGGTGGTGTTTTTATTGTCTTGAACACCTTAATGGTATATAAGGGATATTGTTTAGTTTTTGAGGTTAAAATTACTTACAAAGGCAATTTTCCATTGTCTAAGTGGTGGAGATTTTTCCTTTTACTTTGGTCTTACTCTACCTTTGTCTATTAATTTTAGATTTTGCTTCATTTTAGTTGCAGTTCAAAGGTATGTTAACTTCTTATGGTTTGTGAAAGGAGTTAATAAGGGCCAAATAGGCAAATATCAGTGGCATTTTTTTTTTAATGAATACATGAATCAAGACATTTAGTCAACATTTATCGGCCACCTAGTAAGTGCCGGGTACTCTGCTAGGCAGTGAGAAGTAGAGAGAAATAAGGTTCCTTTTCTATCTTTAAGGAGCCTACAGGGAGGGAATTCATTATACTAGTGAATTAACAGAAACTGTGTTCATTGTCTTTAGACTTTCTGATTCATTCCAAGGTTGCACAACACATCCAATTAGATTGCTAAACTCAAAGTCTGGGTTTTCTTCATGAATGCAATAATTGCACAGTTAAGGAACTCCCTTATTTTCTAATTGTTTTAAAATTACAGAACCATAAAATGTCAACCCACACACACAGCATGAGGTTTAATTAATCAAATATCCTACTCAATTCCTCTACCTGAAGCACACAGAACCCAGAGGTGAATTTACGTTGAGGGTCATGAAGCCTAACTGAGGCTCCTCACTGCACAGGCCTCTTACGAAGCCCTGGCGCTGCATTCATGTGGTCATATGTTTTTGTCAAATTTGCCTAGGTAAGATTTCTGAATTCTTAAAGAGATTCTCACCGATCTACCTCTGTGACAATCACATTAACCCCTGCCATCTGTGTGGTCAGGTAGCAATTTATCTAAAGGTCAGTGGGTAATCTTTTGGGATTGCCTTTCTTTGGGAAATTAGTACCTATTTCTGAATAGTCAGTCACCAAGTATTTTGCTAACAACTTTATGTATGTATGCATTTATGTATGTACATACGTATTTATGTATGCATGCTGTATATTTATGTATGTACATAACTAGCTACTAAGTATTGATAACAACTTTATATCTTTACATATATACTTGATATTTTGCTGCTGGCACCAATTTTTTAGTGCATCTAACTCCCCAAAAGTCTTTCAAGTATTCTAAAATATAGCCCAGAAGCTGGAATAAAATCCTCAAGGAGTTCCCTCATTTATACCAGTAAAATATGCCATAAACATTGACGTGTGTAGTGTTTGAAGAGGCCTGAAAGTTCTTCCTTTAATGCGTCCTACCTTATCAGGTTGTATGACATATTTTCTGTTGGTAAATTAATAACTGGCATTGTATTTTGGGAGGCTGGAAAGGTGATATCAACAATAAACTCTCAATGGTGAAAGATGCAAGTTTCTGGGGGACAGGAACTCACACAGAGGTTTTCCTTCCCGTATCTCCAGCACCTTGCACAGTGCCTGGCATGCAGCAGGCACTTAAGAATACTTTTCGAATGAATGAAATAAGAGTGATGGGGAACCTGTCAAGAATTACATGAGAAGCGCCAACATGGTTGAAGTTTTAAGCAGTCCGTTAAATATGAAACAAGAGCATGACCCTGATTTTGATCATTTAGAGAAAAACTTGTGACTTGAAGAAGGCTGATTCTTTGCATAGAGACTTCCTTATTAATGACAAAACTATATGGCCCTCTACAGGGACAACCAGAGCCATCCACTACCATTGTGTGAGGACTGGCAGATTAAACAGTTAAGATAAATATACTAACTGTGTGAGAAGGCCAGCATCCAACTAAAAACTGAAGTATAACAGTATTTCCAGTGTGGCCTATGACCACTATGATTGTCTGGTACCTGCAGGGCCTCATGAAAAAGAGGGGTGATTCCATTTCTATCCAGAGGTAGGGTGTTGGTAGTCACTCAGTATTCAGTGTAAGAATCCAGTATTTCTAACAATTCTCTTCTAATTAGGTCCCATGAAAGAAGATAATTTTTTTTTTTTTTTTTTTTTTTTTTTTTGAGACGGTGTCTTGCTCTGTTGCCCAGGCTGGAGTACAGTGGTGTGATCTCGGCTCACTGCAACCTCTGCCTCCCAGGTTCAAGAGATTCTCCTGCCTCAGCCTCCCGAGTAGCTGGAATGAGTGCCACTACACCTGGTCAATTTTTTGTATTTTTAGTAGGGACAGGGTTTAACCATGTTGGCCAGGCTGGTCTCCTGACCTCAAGTGCTGACCTCAAGTGCTCTGCCTGCCATGAGGTCAGACAGACCTCAAGTCCTGCTGACCTCAAGTCCTGACCTCAAGGACTCTGCCTGCCTTGGCCTCCCAAAGTGCTGGGATTACAGGCGTGAGGTGCCACACCCAGTGAAAGAAGATAATTTGGACAGTTTTTTTTTTTTTAACTTTCAAACAACTGACATGTGGCTTCCTTCTTTCCTTTTTTCCTTGGAGCAAATTTGGTTAGCAATTTCAACTCCTCTTTTCACCCTCCCCCTTCCTGTTCCTCTTTCCCACCCCACCACCAATGAAGTACATATGTCACTTGAACTCAAAATATCATAAATTGTCTGAAAGCAATTAGCATTTCATTTCAATTTACCTCCTGCACATATGGTGGATGGTTCAGCTGCTAGAATTTCGATGCAGGACTTCTTCAAAATCTAGGAGGAGAGGAAATAAAAGTCAATGAACAGCTTATTTTGTTCAAAGATAGAATTAGGGTTTTGCTTTTAGCTACTGAGATAGAGATAGGAAGGTTCAAGGACATTTGGTTGCAGTGGGGATGGGGGTGGGAGGAGTCTAACATCTTGACTAGTACCAATGCCAAACATTTATTAAGCCAGATTGTGCTAGATGCTGTTGGGTGTCCTAAAAGCCCTAAGAATTATTCATTCATTTGCTCTTTTGGCAGGTATTTACTGAGCCTATGCTACGCCAGTCCTAGTTTTTGCAGAGGTTTAACATAGGGTTGTGGAAATGGGACTTCACACTGGAAATGATAAATGCCAGTGGCCACTCATATTGTAGGTGAAAGGGTGCAAGAGTAGACAGTAGGAACTGCAGAGTTTATGGAGGAGATGCTGGGGCAGGTATGCTAGGAAAGGCTTCATGGAAGAGCTGGCAGCTGAGGGTGGGACTCAAATGAAAGGGAATGGGTTAGGGGAGGGTTAGGGTCCAGGCAGGGAATGGTGTGAGTAAAGGTGAGAAGGAAAAAGTACATAGACTTCTTGAACTGGAACAAAGGCAGCTTGAAAAGTAGAAAAAAAAGAGTGATACTAGATAGAGCTGGAGAGACAGGATGGAGATGGTCAACTCTCCACAGGAGCTGCATAGTCAGATGACTGAGAGTTCCTTTTTTGCTTGAAAAGTCTGGAAAATGTGAGCTTAGAAGGGGGCATCTGTGCCTCACTCTTCAGGAAGACCTCCTGAGACTCAGTTAAATGGAAATGTACACTTGTCCACAAATGAGTCTTACAGGGTTGAGTGGAGAGTCGGGGGAGCCCTGTGACTTCACAGGAGTTAATAATGAAGACTTTTGCTGGCTAGAGCAGGGTTTCTCACTGGTAGCGCCTAAGTTTCTCTCCACCATTTACAAATCCTACCTTGAGAATATTGATTCTAGAATTTGAATCAAGTATTTTAAACATGTATAAGACATTGAGTTAATTTACCAACCAAATGCAGTATCTTTACTTAATTTGGAATTTGAGATGGTTTAGAGGGCTGAAGGAAACCCTTTCTCTATTCATGAAAAGGGCATTTGTTAAAACAACTGATGATATGATTATAAAACTTAAAGTCTGTGAAAGAAGACAGCATCTTTTAGCATTGGGAAATGTCCATTTATTTGCATTGTTGTATTTATTTACATATGCTTCTTTGTTCCAGCTTAAGTGATACATCGTAAGACACAAATGAAAGAGAATAAATGACAATGTGGGGCTGACTAAATGGAAAATAAAGGGAAGATGATGCAAGAAGTGAGAATAGCATAGAAAAAATCTGCTGTGAGGAGCTTATTTCCTTGCTACAGCGGACTTAGTTCCAGGCTTTCTAGTAGCAAACGAAAAGGACAGCCAATATTTATGAGCTTTCTCAATCTGTGCAATGAAAACAAATCACTTTCTCAGAAGAGATCATATTTACCCATTCCAGAGAGAAATCTGGGCATCCTTATAGAGAAGCATTGCGAAAGAAAATGAACAAACATGCTTAAGAAAATATTAATATGCATTTACTGAGATAGGTTATCTCCCCACCATGTATTTTAGGTAACTCCATGTACCTGAATGTCACCAAAAACAACATTTCTCCTCGACAATTCTAAAATTCAGATTTTCTGGCTACTTTTCCTTCACTCTGTAGAACTTCATGGCATTTTTGTACTTCGATTCCCTTATTCGTTTGCAGCATTCTCCTGACTCTGCAGTTGGAAGTAATTTGTTCCTTCAGCTTCTGCCTCATTTCCTCAGCCTCTGGCCTACCTAGCCACCTCCACCCACCCCAGACACAGGTGCAGCCTCAGTTCCTCCCTCTGCCCTGACTATAGCATGAAGGGAATGTTCCGGACTCCCATGTCCCTTGCCCATCTCTGTTAGAGTCAGCGGTCCTCATACACCTGCTCTGGGCATCTGGGGTCAAACACTGAGCTCCTGCTTTCCACTCATTGTCAGTCTAACTTGGGATCAAGGACCCCAAGGATATATCCTGGGCACCTGTGTTTCCCTGCTGGCTTCCCCAGTGTCTTACGGTTGATCTAGTCTTTTTGGTCTCTTGTGCATGTAGCACCGTCCTAGGACTGGGGCTTGCTAGCATCCTGTGACTCATCCCAGACTGCCCTGCCTGAATTGTGAAGATTGTCCATTCGCCCACCCCCAAACTTGCTGCTATTGGGCTCTTCCCGTTTGATGGGGTACTTCAGCCAGTGGTTGCCATGATTGAGGGAGGAAGCCACTCCCTTTGACTTGTCCTCAGGCACAAGTCTCCAGACAGCCCACATTTGAGAAACAGAGCTAGCCCAGAGGGGGAAACTTATTAAACAGTGATATTAAAATAACATGAAGCTGTTTTTTGGTGTTTTAAATAAAATTCCTCAGGCATTTGACATCTCCTAATAAATCATTTTATCATCCACAACTAAAGACTTCAAAACAGTCCAAGAACTAAAAAGAGTTTTGGACTAGTCCTGTCCTCATTCCCCAAACACACACATGACATTTTCACTCATCTGAGTTTCAACCAACCTTTTTGAACCAACTCTGATCCTTAACCAGGGATTGGTAAAGGAACCATCCGTGGGTCTTTGACCACAAAGGCACACTGACAGGGGTTGTCATAATAAACACATGCTGTATTATTCTCTCAAAGTGTCTGCAATTAGCTGATAAATCTAAGGGGTGTATGGAGGGCCAAAAAATGTCAGCCAAGCAATCCAGTAAAAACACTGCTTTCCCAATCTTAACTTAAAACATCTGGAAGGATGCAATACAGCCAATAGAGTAAAATTTATCAGTGAGGGGGATGGGCAGGATTTGTCTGGGACTGGGGCTCCTACTCATTTGAAAGGTCTGGTCTCAAGAGGTAGGAAGTCACAATGGCAATTGGTGGATTTGAAGGGTTCTCTTGGTTCTTAGCAGCCAAGACTGTATGGTAATCAGCCTGTCTGAACTGTAGCAGACAGCAGATCAGCTCAGGGACTGGAGACTGTGTGGGGGTGGGGAGGCCCAGGCAGTGGTAGCCATGGCAGAGGTGTAGACACAACACTGGGGAATCGTCGATGGGAAATCACTAGATGCAGTGGAAGAGACTCACACAGGGTAGGGCTGATGTTAGAGGTAAGAGCCTTTGAGGTGAGGGTATGATTGATCTGCAGAGGAGAGAGGGATAAGATCACTGCACGCCTCAACTATAATCCTACGTGAGGAGCTGGGTCTTGGCCCTGGTCCGTATTTACCTGACCTATGCTCCTTTACAAATCCCTTAACTTTTCTGAACCCCAATTTTGGAAAGCAGTTTAGTATCCTGAGTAATAGCTTGGAATCTGGAATCAAATAGCTGAGGTCAACTCACTCACGAGCTGTGTGACCTTGGACATGTTCCATAACCTCTCTGAGTCCCTGTTTCCTCTCTATAAAGGTGGGATAACAATAGTATCTACCTGAAGTACTAGCATAAAGTTGTTGTGTTGGGAAGATTAAATGAGATCACACAGGCAGAGCCCATAGCACAGTGCCTAAAACCTGATAAGTAACCAACTAATGGTAGCTATTACTATCGAGAACTTAGGCTCTGGAGACTGAGAAGATAGACTTGGACTCTGAATGGGTTTATATTCAAATCCAAGTCCCATCACTTACTGGCCATGTGGACTTGGACAAGTTATCAGACCTCCAAATCTCAGTTTCCTCTGCTGTAAAATGGGATAAGAAAAACACCAACTTCAAAGGGCTGTATGATGGTTAAATAAAATAACAGTCATGAATGCAGAGATATTTTATTGGTAAAATCAATCAGATTTAGGTAATAAAATTCATATTGGATTGGACAGTGAGGGAGAGCATGAGATCAAGGAAAACTGACAAGGTTTTTGTCTTATAGACAGAACTAGACAGATGTGATTGATCCACAGATAGTTAACAACCCTTGGGTCACCAGCCAGCATGAGCACCTTTTGAAAATAAGTCACCAAGAAAAGTGGTCAAAACGGCCTTGACAGTAAAGCACTAAGAGAATGTCTGGCGTGTATTCAAACAACAGTTGCTGTAAACTATTCCTTTGTCATTATTATTGCTACTGCTGCTACTTTTGGGCATGGACCATGGTTCACATGTGCTTAAACCCCATCGCTCACCACTGGCCTTCTGCTTAATCATATTTGCTGACAAAAACTGAACAAGGTGAATGCTATTTTTCTGCCAACGTTTGGACAGATTTCAAAGAGGAAATAGGCGGAAAAGTATGTTTGAAATCCATAAAGAGCTAAATAATTGTAATGTGTTGTTTCTGGTAAGTTTACTTTTGTACATCTCATTGAATTATTGGTGGGAGGACAGGTAAGAGAAGCAGCAGATGTACAAGAACTTTGCCAAGTTACAGGAGCTGTTTGATATATTTAAAGTGAAATCCATTGTGGGCCAGTCTGGGTTGTATATCAGAGTTTATTTTTTTCAAATTCTAAAAATCTAATGTCCTTTTTCATGAAGTTCTAAGTTCATGCAGAATTTTCTCAAGAACCTTTATAGAACTGTGAATATCTGCACAGAGTTATAAGGAAGCCCTCTCTTATCATAGGCACAGCATATTGTTTTCTACTTGCTCTGCCTCTTGCTTCGATAAACAACCAATCTTTATTTACTTGGCCGTTTCCTGTTGGAGGATTTTTTTGTGTGTTTATAATGGACCAACCTCTTTTATCCATTCATGGTAGAGGTGCCTTTTGCTTTCACATATATTTCAGAAAGTCTTTCAGAGCATGTTCCTTGGTGTCTTATTTGTTGTAAAGGGTAAATTCTGGTTTAAAGATGTATGGGGCTTGAAGTATGCTGGTGCCAAGGATGGTTAACTATCTACTGACCACTTACATCTGTTCAGTTCTCTAAGACAAAAACCTGAACATTGAACTTAACTTTGCTGTCTCTGTCACTCTCCAAATCCAATATAA